GCTGGAGTGCAATGGCGTGATCTCGGCTCACCACAACCTCTGGCTCCCAGGTTCAAGCGATTCTCCTGCCTCAGCCTCCCTGGTAGCTGAGATTACAGGCATGCGCTACTAAGCCCAGCTAATTTTGTATTTTTGGTAGAGACGGGGTTTCTCCATGTTGGTCAGGCTAGTCTCGAACTCCTGACCTCAGGTGATCCACCTGCCTCAGCCTCCCTAAGTGCTGGGATTATAGGCATGCGTCACCATGCCCAGCTTTATTTTTATTTTTTTATTGCTTTTTCCCTACTAGAAGATGAGCTTCCCTAGGGCAGGGACATTGTTCATCACTGTATCCCCAGCACTTAGAACAGTACCTGGCACATACTAGTCTCTCAACAGAAATTTTGTGAATGATTGAACAATGAATAAGACAGAGTCCTTGCCCTTAAAAACTTTATAGTCAGCTGGGCACAGTGGCTCATGCCTGTAATCCCAGCACTTTGGAAGGCCAAGGCAGGTGGATCACCTGAGGTTGGGAGTTCAAGATCAGCCTGAAGAACATGGAGAAACCCCATCTCTGCTAAAAATACAAAATTAGCTGGGTGTGGTGGCACATGCTGGTAATCCCAGCTACTCGGGAGGCTGGGGTAGTAGAATTGTTTGAACCTGGGAGGCAGAGGTTGTGGTGAGCTGAGATCTCACCACTGTACTCCTGCCTATGCAACAAGAATGAAACTGTCTCAAAAAACCAAAACAAAACCAAACAAAACTTTATAGTCTAATAGGGGATACATAGGATTATTAAATAAAAGACAGATAATTTCAACACAGAACAACAGTATTATAAAAGGGGTAAGCAGTGGGTGCTATGGAAATACATAGAATGGACATGCATCACAGTGCTGAGAAGGGGTAGTCAAGGAAGGCTTCTAGAAGGAGGTGACATTTCTGAGATGCCTAAAAAACTTTATAGGGAGGGAATGGAAAGATGGTTCATGGAGTAGGGTCAATAAGTACAAAGTCTTGGAAGTGAGGGATTAAGCGATCCCTTCAACAGAGGGCAGGTAATTCAATGTGGCCAGAATGAACAGTTGTGGTGTGGCAAGATGCAGAGGGATGAGACTCGTTGTTGGTAACTAGATCCTGAAGGATCTTGAGCATCAAGCTAAGCCATTTGGATTTTATCCAGAAAGCAACCAGGAGTTGTTTAATCAGGACAGTGAGAAAGCTCATTCTAGCTCTAGTGTGAAAGACTGATGAGAAAGGGCAGGGCTGGCAGCACAGAGAACAAAAAGGAGGCTGTTGTCAAAATCCAGGTGGGAGACGGTGGTGGCTTGAGCTTGGGGGCGAGAGTGGGGGTGGGGAGAAGTAGGTGGAGCTCAGAGAGCTTTCCCCGACAGGCCTTAGTGATTGACTGGTGTAGGAGATAAAGGAGGAGAGCCGGGCGCGGTGGCTCAAGCCTGTAATCCCAGCACTTTGGGAGGCTGAGGCGGGTGGATCACGAGGTCAAGAGATCGAGACCATCCTGGTCAACATAGTGAAACCCCGTCTCTACTAAAAATACAAAAAATTAGCTGGGCATGGTGGCGCGTGCCTGTAATCCCAGCTACTCAGGAAGCTGAGGCAGGAGAATTGCCTGAACCCAGGAGGAGGAGGTTGCGGTGAGCCGAGATTGCGCCATTGCACTCCAGCCTGGGTAACAAGAGCGAAACTCCGTCTCAAAAAAAAAAAAAAAAAAAAAAAGATAAAGGAGAAGGGAGAGGTGAAGATGGCACTCACTTTTCTGGCCTGGGTCACCGTGGTGCTATTCTGTGACTCTCTCCCAAGCCTAATCCATCTCCACAGACTTCCTAACCTATGACCCTACCCTTAAGGCTAACTTTCCTGTAAACTTGGTCCTGTACCCAATCACCCTGCATTTGTCTAACTTTTTCTTTGGGCTCTATTCCCTTTATCTTCTTTCTACTAAATGAAATGGAAACTTCTCTCTAGACAACCCTGGTTCTGTTCTTATTTTTCAACCTTTCCTGTGTCACTAGGCCCTGGTATATTTGATTGGAAACTCATCAACCAGCAAGAATCTTCCATAATATCTCTCCATAGATGCTAAAACAAGGTTGTAGCTCAAGGGAGCCACTGTTGAGTACTATAAGCAGCCTGAAGACTCCTAAACATATAGGACAGAAGAGTGGCAGGACAGACAGTAAAATGACTACAGGTGGCCGTGTGCGGTGGCTCATGCCTGTAAACCCAGCACCTTGAGGGGCCGAGGTGGGTGGATCACTAGAGACCAGGAGTTGAAACCAGCCTGGCCAACGTGGTGAAACCCTGTCTGTACTAAAAACACAAAAATGAGCTGGGCGTGGTGGCAGGGGCCTGTAATTCCAGCTACTCAGGAGGCTGAGGCAGGAGAATTGCTTGAACCCAGGAGGCAGAGGTTGTAGTAAGCCGACATCGTGCCACTGTACTCCAGCCTGGGTGACAGAGTGAGACCCTGTCTCAACAAGAAAAAAAAGGAAATGACTATAAGTACACACTGTGAGTTCATTACATTCTCTTTAGGTGGGGAATAGCAGGAGAAGTCATGGCAACCATGCAAGGCCAAGGGTGAGAAATCAGCGCCCCCTGTTGTAATAAGCCGAAAAGTTTCCATTGAAAAGGTAGATTTGGCAAGCTGTAAGAATGAAGAGGGGAATTGCTGGTGGGCAAGTCTGGGGGCTTTCTAACCATGAAGAACAGAATGGGAAGGGCAGAAGGAAGAATCAGAGTGCCGTAGTGAGATGAGCGAGCCCACCTCTAATATTTGTGGGGGGCTCACGGCAAGAGAAAAATTTAGGCCCTGGTACCAAATGTCTAAATATGTAAAAGTTATAAATCAAAGCTAATAAACCATCAAATAGACATGTTCTACCCTCTTATCTTAACAAGTAAATCAATATCAACTGGAAGGTTTACGTCTAGAATTCTGGGGTTCCTTCAAGCCCTTGTCGGCCTCAAGTTCTCTTCCATTCTGCCGAAGGGGCCTCACACAAAGGTGTGTGCTCAATGAGGCTGTACATCTAAACCCCATCTGTACTACAGGCTAACAGGACCAGGGCTGTGCCCCCAGCAGCTCAGTCTGTGCCCTCAGGAGATCAACCCCCAGGAAGAGGGTGTGAGCTGTGGCCTTGGAAGGGACTGCTCTGCTCAACAGGGGATTCCGGTAACTGCAGCATGGTCTAGCGGGGGAGAGAAATGAGCTCTGGGTAGACACATCCACTTGGCCTTAAGTTATCCTCCTTCTGGAGGAGGATGAGACCCTCTTTGAAAAAACAGGTATCAGGCTGGGTGTGGTAGCTCACGCCTGTAATCCCAGCACTTTGGGAGGCTGAGAAGGGCAGATCACAAGGTGAGGAGATCGAGACCATTCTGGCTAACACGGTGAAACCCTGTCTCTACTAAAAATACGAAAAAATTTAGCCGGGTGGGTGGCACACGCCTGTAGTCGCCCAGCTACTCAGGAGGCTGAGGCAGGAGAATTGCTTGAACCTGGGAGGCGGAGGTTGCAATGAGCCGAGATCACGCCATTGCGCCGCAGCCTGGGAGACAGAGTGAGACTCCATCACACACACAAAAAAGTCCCTCTGGCTAAGTCTAAAGGCATGGACTCTGAAATCATATAGAGCTAGTTCAAATCTCTATTGTTGTGATATTTATTTATTCTTCTTTGAACCTGAGCAGGCTCTGTGAGTTTCCATTTCCTTACTTGTAAAATGGGGATAATAATAACTACCCTACAGGGTTATTGTGGTAATTAAGCCATTGTGCACAAAGTACCTGGTATTTAATAACCACCACTCAGTTCACATTGTTTTCTTCCTGCTCACTACCATGCTTCCCTTAAAGTAATCATGGAGGCTGGGGAAAAAATATGATTTAAAAAAAAATATGTAAGGCTATCTGGCAGACGCAGTCTAAGAAAAAGGAATTTATGTAGAAGACAATAATAATCTAGGCAGTAATAATCCCAGCTCAGCCTGGAACCATGTGGGAGAAAGAGGGAGAGTAAGTTATTTTGTATGCAGATAAATGAGAAGTGGTAATGGTGTAATTGCTTTTACAATCTGTTTGTTTTGCTGAGGGTAGCAGCTGGTTACTGTTTTGATTCTTGGTTTTCATGTTAAGACAGAGGGAGAAAAGGTGTGAATAATCCAAAATAAAAGAAAATCCAAACATCCTTCCTTGGTGACTAGAACACAATCAGAGAAACACATGGTTGCAAACACGTATGTTTCTGTCTTGTTTTTATTTTTGTTTGAGATGGAGTTTGGCTCTTGTTGCCCAAGCTCGTGTGCAAAGGCACGATCATGGCTCATTGCAACCTCCGCCTCTCGGGTTCAAGTGATTCTCCTGCCTCAGTCTCCTGAGTAGCTGGGATTACAGGCACGCACTACCACGCCTGGCTTATTTTTTGTGTTTTCAGTAGAAACAGGCTTTCATCATATTAGCCAGGCTGGTCTTGAACTCCTGACCTCAGGTGATCCGCCCACCTCGGGCTCCCAAAGTACTGGGATTACAGGGGGTGAGCCACCATGCCTGGCCCTGTCTTTTATTTAATTTAACTTTATTTATTTATTTATTTATTTGTTTTTGATATGGAGTCTCATTCTGTCACCCAGGCTGGAGTGCAGTGGCACAATTTTGGCTCACTGCAACCTCTGCCTGCTGGGTTCAAGCAATTCTCCTGTCTCAGTCTCCCAGTAGCTGGGATTACAGGCACATGCCACCATGCGTGGCTAATTTTTGTATTTTTAGTAGAGACGGGGTTTCACCATGTTGGTCAGGCTCATCTTGAACTCCTGGCCTTGGGTGATCCACCTGCCTCGGCCTCCCAAAATGTTGGAATTACAGGCATGAGTTACCACACCTAGCCCTTGTTTATTTATTTATTTATTTTTCAGAGTCCATGAGACATTTTATTTGTAAGTATATGTAATACATCCCTGGAAAAAGAATCCCAGGATTTTCCCTCCTGTGTGTTTTCATCTTGCTTCGTTGTGGTCCATGATGTCCGCTGAGGCTGTCAGTACAATGAAACCAAACTGGCGGGATGGAAGCAGATTATTCTGCCATTTTTCTAGGTCTTTGAGTTGCACATCAAATCTGGGGCTGATCACTCCACACTTGTTTAGCCTGCCTGTGAGGTTCACAATTTTCCCAGCTCTGTGATCATCAGTGATTTCAAATTTGCCAATGTAACCATGCTTCATCATTACAGTGAGAAACCAGACAATGACTTTGGAGCATGGCCTAATAAGCACCTGGCGTTTGTCTTTCTTTTCGGCATTGCTGATGGTCTTGAGAGCATCAGCCAAGACATTCATGTGCACCACTGTGGCAGTGTGGAAAGACGGCAGAAAGAGCTATTTATTTATTTGAAGACAGGGTCTCACTCTGTCATCCTGGCTGAAGTATATTGCACAATCTCAGCTCACTGTAGCCTCTGCCTCCTGGGCTCAATCAATCCTCCCACCTCAGCCTTCCAAGTAGTGGCACCACCATGCCTGGCTAATTTTTAAATGTTTTTGTAGAGACAGGGTTTCACCATGTTGCCCAGGCTGGTTTTGAACTCCTGGGCTCAAGTGATTGGCCTGCCTTTGCCTCCTAAAGTGTTGAGATTACAGGCGTGAGCCACTGTGTCCAGCCTGTATTCTCTCTCTCTCTTTTTTTTTTCTTTTTTTTTTTTTTTTTTTTGAGACAGAGTTTCACTCTTGTTACCCAGGCTGGAGTGCAATGGCGCGATCTCGGCTCACCGCAACCTCCGCCTCCTGGGTTCAGGCAATTCTCCTGCCTCAGCCTCCTGAGTAGCTGGAATTACAGGCACGTGCCACCATGCCCAGCTAATTTTTTGTATTTTTAGTAGAGACGGGGTCTCACTATGTTGACCAGGATGGTCTCGATCTCTTGACCTCGTGATCCACCCGCCTTGGCCTCCCAAAGTGCTGGGATTACAGGCTTGAGCCACCGCGCCCAGCTGTATTCTCTCTTTTAAACACAGGCACTGAACCTCTGATTAAGTTAGTTTAGTCACTGTCCCTGAACATGTTTAGATTCTTACCACAGCCTGTCACTCTTGCTCAGCTTGCAGCTAGATGTCTTCTCTCTCCTTCTCAGTCATTCCAAATTCTATTCTTGTTGTTGTTGTCATTGTTATTTTGAGATGAAGTCTTGTTCTATTGCCCAGGCTGGAGTGCAGTGGCTCAATCTCTGTTCACTGCAACCTCTACCCCCTGGGTTCAAGCAATTCTCCTGCCTTAGCCTCACTAGTAGCTGGGATTACAGGTGCCTGCCATAACGCCCGGCTAATTTTTGTATTTTTAGTAGAGATGGGGTTTCGCCATGTTGGCCAGGCTGGTCTCAAACTCCTGACCTCAGGTGACCCACCCTCCTCAATCTCTGAAAGTGCTGGGGTTACAGGCGTGAGCCACCGTGCCCAATCCCAAATTCTACTCTTTATTTTAGGCCCACTCCTTCCATATTAGCATCCTTGCCTGCTGCCTTCCACCCTTACCTTGAGCTCTTCCTTGTCTGCGTCACCTAGAACTTACCGATGTCTTAATATGTTCACTGTCTTATATAGTTCTCTTTCTCTTATCTGTGTGCAAATCTTATCTCACTAACTAGAATTTTAGCTTATCCATGGCAGGAACTGTATTTCTTATTCTCTAAAATTTCCCGTGGTGTCTCTGTATTCATTCAACATACATTTATGAAGTTCTCATGTGCAGCCAGGTGTGGTGGCTTATGCCTATAATCCTAGCACTTTGGGAGCCTGAGGCAAGAGGATCACTTGAAGCCAGGAGTTTGAGACTAGCCATGCAACATAGCAAGCTCCTGTTTCTATTATATTAAAAAAAAAAAAATTATGTGCCTGAACTATTCTAGGTGCTAGGGATACAAAGGTTTTAATGGGGAGGGTGTGGTGGCTCATACCTGTTATCCCAGGACTTTGGGAGGCTGAGATGGAAGGATCACTTGAGGTGAGGAGTTTGACACCAATCTGGACAACATAGTGAGACCCTGTCTCTTTTTAAAAAATAATTTAGGCTGGGCGTGGTGGCTCACGCCTGTAATCCCAGCATTTTGGGAGGCTGAGGCAGGTGGATCATGAGGTCAGGAGTTCAAGACCAGCCTGGTCAACATGGTGAAACCCCAGCTCTATTAAAAATACAAAAATTAGCCAGTCATGGTGGTGCATGCCTGTAGTCTCAGCTATTCAGGAGGCTGAGGCAGGGAATTGCTTGAACCTGGGAGGCAGAAGTTGCAGTGAGCCAAGATTGTGCCACTGCACTCCAGCCTGGGCGACAGAGCAAGACTCTGTCTCAAAAGAAAATAATAATTTAAATTAAAAGTTTAAAAAAGATTATATATATGTCCCTGGAGTAGCTAATAATGTAATGGACTCATGGTTTGATAACTGCCTATAAAATTGTTGAGCACATAATGGGACTTCACTACAGGTTTGAAGGATTGACAAGTCACAACGCTTTTCCAATAAGCATTCAATGAATGGAAATTAATTAATGAGACAACTGAATAACAAGCACTGATACGGCTGTTCCAGATGTACCTGTCCTGTATGAACCTAGATCTAGTTGTATTAACGGCATAAGAATGATTTGAGAGGAGAAGTGGTCTTTAGTCAGCAAAGCAGAGAGCCTACTGTCTTTCCAAGGCAGGGCCCGCTCCTTTCCTTAGAGCCTTGTGATTAAATCAGAAGCATTTTACAGGCACGGTGAATACCTTTTGCCGATTGTGTCATTCAGGGTGGTCGATTATGAGAACTATGTCTATTATCATAATGAAAACAGCTATAATCTAACACTTATTCTGTGTTAGACATTGTGCTGATTTCTTTTTTCTTTAACAGATGGGGTCTCACTCTGTTATCCAGGCTAGAGTCCAGTGGCACGATCTCAGCTCACTGCAACCTTCACCTCCCAGGTTCAAGTGATTCTTCTACCTCAGCCTCCTGAGGAGCTGGGATTACAGGTGTGTGCCACCATGCCTGGCTAATTGTTGTATTTTTAGTAGAGGTGGGGTTTCACCACATTGGCCAGGCTGGTCTCAAACTCCTGACCTCAGGTGATCCACCTGCCTTGGCCTCCCAAAGTGCATGAATTACAGACGTGAGCCACTGTGCATGGCGTGATTTCTTTGCATTAATATGTAAATCCTAACCGTAACCCTGTGAGTGGGTACTATTATTATCCCTACTTTACTGAAGAGGGAACTAAGACACAGCTAGTAAGTAGGAGAAGCTGTATTTGAACCCAGGAAGTCTGATTCCATACTGTGCTGTCTATACAAGAAACTAGGAGAGTGGAGAACTGAGTTTTTGAGGTGGCCCTGCCATTCACTCACTGTGTGAGCTGCAGAAGTCATTTCGGCTCTCAGGTCTTCAACCCCTTCTGGTCACATAGGGACAGCCGCAGACTTGAAGTTAATTCTTCTGAATTCAAGGCCTGTGCTCTTTCCAGCAGCCTCAGCTACCTAAATCTGTTGGTGGTGATCTTTTAAATATCTTTCTGAACCGGGTGCAGTGGCTCATTCCTGTAATCCCAGTACTTTGGGAGGCTGAGGTGGATGGATCACCTGAGGTCAGGAGTTCAAGAGCAGCCTGACCAACATTGTGACACTTCATCTCTACTAAAAATACAAAAATTAGCTGGACGTGGTGGTGGGTACCTGTAATCCCTGCTACTTAGGAGGCTAAGGCAGGAGAATCACTAGAACATGGGATGTGGAAGTTGCAGTGAGCTGAGATTGTGCCATTGCACTCCAGCCTGGGGGACAGAGGGAGATTCCATCTCAAAAAAAAAAAAAACAAAAAAACCCAAAAAACTCATCTTTTTTTAATCTTCTCTTTTCTTTCTTTCTTTTTAACATGAACAATTATACTGCAGAAAAATCTTATCTTTCATCTCCCTTTGGTATCAGGGGCAGCGTGTAGTATTGTCATTTACAAGATGTGTGTCCCCCCTTTTTTTTTTTCCTGAGATGGAGTCTCATTTTGTCACCCAGTCTGGAGTGCAGTGATGAAATGTTGATTTACTGCAACCTCCACCTGCCGGGTTCAAGCAGTTCTTCTGTCTCAGCCTGCTGAGTAGCTAGGACTACAGACATGTACCACTATGTCTGCCTAATTTTTACATATTTAGTGGGGGCGGGGTTTCACTATGTTGGCCAGGCTGGTCTTGAACTTCTGACCTTAAGTGAATGGCCCACTTCGACCTCCCAAAGTGCTGGGATTACAGGTGTGAGCCACTGTGCCCAGTCAGGTGTCCTTTTTTGCGACTTTGATGGCTTCATGAAAGGCTTGGCTGATGGGGAGTAAAGAGAGAGCTGCAAAAAAAGACCTCTCATGGTAATTTCTTCCTGCAACGCCATTCGTCATTCCTAGGTTTGTTAGTTAATTATTATTATTGTTATAGAGTCAGGGTCTCGCTCTGTTGCCTAGGCTGGAGTGAGTGGTGCCATCATAACTCACTGTAGCCTCTACCTCCTGAGCTCAAGCCGTCCTCCCACCTCAGCTTTCCAAGTAGCTGGGAATACAGGCATGCACCACTGATATGGTTTGACTCTGTGTCCCCACCCAAATATCATCTCGAATTGTAATCCCCGTGGAGGGACCTGGTGGAAGGTGACTGGTTTCCCCCATGCTGTTCTTGGGATAGTGATTTCTCACAAGATCTGATGGTTTAAAAGTGTGTGGCAGGCCGGGTGCTGTGGCTCACGCCTGTAATTCTAGCACTTTGGGAGGCCAAGGCAGGTGGATCACAAGGTCAGGAGTTTGAGACCAGCCTGACCTACATGGTGAAACCCTGTCTCTACTAAAAATACAAAAATTAGCTGGGCGTGGTGGCGGGTGCCTGTAATCCCAGCTACTTAGGAGACTGAGGCAGGAGAATTGCTTAAACCCGGGAGGCAGAGGCTGCAGTGAGCCGAGATCATGCCATTGCACTCCAGCCCTGGCAACAGTGCGAGACTCTATCTTAAGAAAAAAGAAAGAAAAAAAATGTGTGGCTTTCTTTGCTTTCTGTCCCTCCTGCTGCCATGTAAGACATGCCTTGCTTCCCCTTCACCTTCCACCATGATTGCAAGTTTCCTGAGGCCTCACCAGCTATGCAGAACTGTGAGTCAAATAAACCTCTTTTGTTTATAAATTACCCAGTCTCAGGTACTTCTTTACAGCAGTGCGAAAATGGACTAATATAAACACCATGCCTGGCTTATTTTTTGTTTTAGTAGAGACAGGGTCTTTCTTGCTGTTTTGTCCAGGCTTGTCTCAAACTCCTAGGCTCAAATGATCCTCCTGCTGGAA